TATCCAAAATCCCAAGAATTCAAATTCTGAGAATTTCAAATTTCAAATCGCTAAAATCGAGAATCTCGAAAACTGGCAAAGTATCAGGAGAACATGATCAGCGAAGAGGTGGCACTATCTAAATTTCCAAGAATTTTTCACAATTTCCAAGAATTGGAATCCCGAGAATTTCAAACTTTAAATCGCGAAAATCGAGAATCTCGAAAATTGGCAAAGTATCAGGAAAACATGATCAGCGAAGAGGTGGCACTATCTAAATTTCGAAGAATTTTCTCAATTTTCAACAATTTTCTGTATTTCTAAAAATTTCCACAAATATTTCGAAAAAATCGACAGAGTATTAGGAGACCATGATTAATAAAGAAGTCGCACTATCTTTTTATCTTTCAACGCTGCAAAAGGCAGCAATTTATTTAAAAAATTTATATTCATATTATGTAACAGCATCATTCGCATTGCAAAATGAATTTTGTAATTACCTAGATACATTTTTGACATGTATAATCATAATGTATTAAAATACATGCGTGTATCGAAATATACGATATAAAATTATATAATTTTATCCTGAAACTTGATGCGAATCATAAATCGTTTAGAGTGATTTTAAAATGTGAGTCACTTTGGATCGAATATTTGCGAATTTTGTTTAAGGTGCGGGCAAGAGACCAGAGTTATACCGCGGATTCTCCAGATGAAGATGCACTGGTCCAAGTCCGAGAAGGAAAACGTACGGCTCACCGAGGCGGGGATCTCGAAAGAGGTATGTCTACGTTCTGAAAAGCGCGGAAGAGGATATATTTCAGCACGGGGACAGATCTGAATAATTTAAGTATCATCCAATGGAAAAATTCGCAGTGGGAAAAAGTTTTCAGCGTTTTTGCCTATTTTATTGAGAGCGGTACACCTCGCTCGCACGCTTGGAAAACGCGAGGAGTACTCCGTAAAACTTGTCACAGCATATTTATTTGGACGCTTGCTCGGTATTTAAATGCCTTCCCTCTACAATTAAATGAAGGCTTTAAAAATTTGTGCCCGCGTAGTATGAATAATTATATCACTGCGACGTGAGATTATAAAGTTTGCCGTGTAAATCGTAAGCTGGTCGTGTTAGTCTAAAAGCTCATGTAAGAGGCTGACGGTAACTTCTCCGAACTCTTATCTCTCATGAATAATTAAAATTAAAATTTACGCGTACGAAACTTGGGAGATGCGTTTTACAACGCGGTCGCGAAACGGTGGGGGATTCTTCGAGGCTTGTAGTAACGAGACTGTGCTATTTTTCTTCAGGTGATAGACAGCGCGATAGCGGCGTTCTGCTTGGAAATAATAGCGCGACACGCCGAGCCCGCGCCGAGGTTGTGCAACAAGGATCCACTCACCCTGAAGATGGGCTCGTACATCCTCGAGCTCTTCCCGAACGCAAAATTTATATTCATGGTGCGCGACGGACGCGCGACGGTGCATTCCATCATATCCAGGAAGGTAAAAAAGCCCAGCGTAACGTTTCGTTCTTTTTTTTTTTCAAAAATGTATTCATTTATTCGCGACGTTACGTCGTTCCTCTATCGCGTCATATTTAAAATGAAATTATTGATTATACAAATTAATTTTTTTTTATCTCGAAACTTCTCTTACTATTAATCACTTTATGCAATTGTTCTAAATTTTAATATTATCAATATTAATGATCCGCACGTGGCGCCGCGGATATCCTATATGTTTCTTCGTTTCTTTTTTGTTCTGAATCTATAATGCAAGGTTTCAACACAATACGTATATAATAATACAATACAATTCTCCAAGTGACCGTCTTCTCTCTTCACAGGTCACCATAACGGGATTCGACTTATCGTCTTACCGGCAGTCTCTCATCAGGTGGAATCACGCAATTTCCGTAATGTACGGCCAATGCAAGGAACTGGGACCTGAGAGATGTCTGATGGTCCCTTACGAGCAGCTGGTGCTGCATCCGCGCCAATGGATGAAGAAGATATTAAACTATCTGGACGTGCCGTGGAACGAGTCCGTCATGCATCACGAGGAATTCATTAACAAACCCGGCGGAGTGCCTCTGAGCAAGTAAGCGAGAAGAGCGGAGGAAGTAGAAGCGCATTTAGATCTAACAGTATTCCAGAACTCGAGCGAGACGCACCCGACGCATGTTACACACGTTGAAATAATGCGTTATGACAGGATAATGTTGTTAATCCTGAAACGACGTAATAATGCGATAATATAATGCCTCTTGCATTAATAATGCGAAAATGATGTGGCAATGTAATAAAATAATCCTTCGCATTATTAATCCCAGAGTTACGTTGTGATGTGACGAATCAATTTTTCGCGTTGTCAGCGTTAGAGTAATATTTGCAATACGGTAGAGTGACGTTTGGCTAAAATGATATGTGTGTAACGAGATTAATAGATGCGTATACAAACTGACGGTTCGCGTCATGTTATTAACATTAAAATCACGTTCGACGTGCAGGGTCGAGAGGTCGTCGGACCAAATCATAAAGCCTGTAAATCTGGCGGCGCTGACCAAATGGGTCGGTAACATTCCCGAGGACGTGGTGAGAGAGATGGCGGACATCGCGCCGATGCTCTCCGTGCTCGGCTACGATCCTTATGCGAATCCGCCCGTTTATGGCGCACCGGACAGTTTAGTTAGCGACAACACCAGACGGTACGTGCCCATTTGTTACGCTACATGGCTGTCACAGTTGTTACATATAGTATTGCTCACCACGAGTGATGTATATTCAAACGATGTACAGTAAACCAGAATTACATCGAAATAGGACGAAATTATTTTAGCATATTCCAAAACGTGCAAAATATCACGGTCGAGCTTTCAAACTTGATTAATCAAGGATTTTTTAATATTTATTAGCGCTCGCATTAAAAAAATATCAATTAGTGATCGCTTACTTGGATATTCTAAATTCTTTAATATTGGTATTAAAATATTTTCTACAAGAGTAAAAGTACCGTCTGACGGTACGTTATAAAGTTTTGTAAACGTATGCGATTTCTGATGGAGAAAAGGGCCAATTGCAGCCTAAGCGTAGTTATAAAAATCATATTTTACGCTCTAAACAAAGGTGAGCTTTTTATTCCTACCGTTATTTAGTAGCAGAGTTGTTCGATTCATGTATAATTTCTGCCTTTCAGGGTGCTGGCCGGCGAAAAACTGTGGGAGGAAAAGGCGCGGGCGTACCACCTATCGCATAGGCCGATCGAGAACAGCAACGAGGAAGCTGCCTCCAGCACAGCTCCAATCGCGTGACCCCGCGTGATTCTCATAGGCGCGAGCGACACGTAACCGACTACCATCCTAAGTCTTATCGATTTAGGATTTCCGTATATGCGGAGACCACTCCCTTGTACTTTCAAAGTAAACTCGGTCTCACACGACGGCGAGTCGTGTCGTGAATTAATCGCCCTTGTCGTATTTTCTCAGTCTCCTCCGTTATCGCAGCCCGACGACGATAGATTAATCGATTATTCCGACGCTTATTTATGCGCATCAGGATCTTCACGAAACCAGATGACGTAATATACTAGGCCGTGACTAGAAAATAGGGTGCATCAGAAATAAGCGGCCAAACTTCGAGAGACGTGCTACTGCTCCAGTATTATTTGACACGCGTCATCGATGTCGAGCGTTTCATCTGCGATACACGGTCTCTAGAATGAAAAGAAGAGGAAGGTTCATTCTGAGATTAAACTTCTATGAACTTTCTCGGCGTTCTCGCAATAGTCTACCGCACAGACGGTAACTGTAGGAGCGAAGTATCTACAACTCAAAGAGAGAGGAAAAGAAACGTTTCTACATATATAACCGTACTTTTTCTTTCCGCAGGACAAGTAAAATAAATTCCGAATGTTTGCTCGTTTATTTCTGAAATATTCTGTGGGCGTGTTCCCACTTCCTCTCGATACTACTTCACAGTATTCCCAATAGTTTCGAGCAGTCTAAAAAAAAGTGTGAATGGTTGCAGTTAGAAAAGAATAACTGCTATGTTATTACGAAGGATACTGAGGTTCCATTTCATTCAGTAATAGCGTCCAGTACTGGCAGTAGTACTGAAAGAAAGTGAGAACATACCCTGTATATTACCGCGATAACTATATAATAGTCATAGTAATATTTTTAATAGTAAAACATCAATTTAAACGTTTGGTGCAAGAACGATGCAAAGTCTTATTTTATATATTTTATATCAAAAATGAATTTTACAGTGGAACTTATTGCTGTAAACTCATTGTTAAATTGATCTTTTTATTTTTTTATAATGCTGTTTACAAATTTGTTAGGTTTAAATTGAAAAGTGGGGAAAAAATTCAAAAGAGAACTTTTTATTGTCACCGAGTGACAATTTTTTTATCCATAAACAGCCGGCATTGCAAATATCGTTGCGAGATATACTCCAAATTGACGGTACCATAATTGTCTACTACCTATGGTCACCGAGAACAATAACGAGTGAGTTGCGATTAAACTTCGAACATTGTGTGTTATGGTGGATCGGACCTTATAATAGAAGTTATCATTTCAGCAAGTTGAATTCTATAGCGATAGAAAAATACAAAGAACGACCTTTTCCAATTGTCACATGGTCACGTCAAATGTTGTATTACGTAGTATATGGGAATCATTTTCGTGTACTCGTAGAGAGCTAAGTTTTACGAAATCGGGTTCGGCCTTCTCTTATTAAACGACATCGACCAACAACGGCCAGTGATTTTAAAGAGAAGCATTTAGAGTATTTAAAAGAGAAGAAAGAGAAACTGCAGATGCGCAAAGGACGAGGGGTATGAAAACTTTTCTCTTTTCTTCCCCTCGTGAATCTCCGGTTGGTCGGTTTAGGAGGATATAATCCAGCGCGAAGTTCTAGAAGCATTCAATGTTAAATGCGGTTATTCGATACATGGGGCAAAATAATGCAAAAACAAGTTAGCCAAAGTAATTTTGAATAAATTAAATCTAAAAACCTGAGTTTTATGTTGCTGACACAGCAGTGTGCGCTAAGTGCACACAAGTTAAATTTATTCTTTTTGTTTAATATTCTAGGTAAACTCATTCATGCATAACGCCACCCAATTAACATATAACATGACTACAAAGTTCGCGTACTGGCGTTTTTATCCTCCGTACCTCTACCGTATCATTTTCGTACCACTTATTATAACGAATTCGCGTAAAATAAAATTTTTCATGTTCGCCATATTTTTTAGATAGTATAGTTTATCCATGGCGTTTTTTAAGTAGACCATTTTCGGTCAATATCTATTTAAAAAAAAATTGCAAATATATTTCTGATATAATATTAGAAATTAATATTGGATTGGTGCCAAATCTTGGTCATCAAATAAAGTTAAAACTTCAGTTAAAAAATTTTATTTCCATTAATTGAGAAGCGTTTCGTAAAATTGAAGATGTTATTGTCTTTCAAACAATTCAATATTCTTCAATCTTTCGTTAAAACAGTTTAATAAAAAGATGACAAAGCTTTCGAACCAATCTGATATTTATGTAAGTGTAAATAGTATCCGTGAGCTCAACCGTGAGTTGATTGCGGCACATTTTTGTTGTTCATGGATTCTGATGGTTATATTATAATTTCAGACGACGCCGTTATGATTGCAAGCGGCAACAGACATGCATAGGTTTGTCAAAATCTTATTGTCGAATTGTGCAATTAAATTATTTTAATATTACACTGTTCTGTTGTATCCAATCCACGTTCCTCATCTCACCTCTAATTGGCGAGAAAAGGAGCCTATAATTTATCTCAATATTACATTTATTTCATAAAGTTAGCTAATATAAATAAAATATTTTCAATCGTTATTTCGATTATTAACTTAATATAGAAAAAATTGAATTTCTTTTAAATCGAAAGCTAGTAAACATTAATTAATCTTATTAAAAAATGTAATATACTTTGAGAAAAATTTCTAAGATGTTTGACTTCTTTTGAGAATTAACAATAACAACGATTATCTATTGATATCTTAGCATAATTCTGCATATATTGAGTTTTTTATTTATTTGCACTGATTCAAATAATGTTATAAATGGTCTAAAGTAATTACATTATTTAAATATTGTATAACGATAAGTTAATTTGTTAAATGTGAGAAATTCTTTAAAAAAAGTTAATTTTTAATGTACATGGAACAAACATCTAAGAGCTCGAGGACAATATGTAAAAATATATTTCTATGCAATTATTCTATAATTTTCGCTTTTTTTCGTCTTTTTAGCCGAAATGTAATAATGATATTCACGTTAGATGGTTCGTCAATGGCTTCCGATATTTTGCCTGCACCCACACTCTATACATTCTCAACTGTTTACCTCTGTTAACTTGGAGCCTTCTATCTACAAAGTTTTGTTCTTCGATGAAGCCGTTACTGGTAAATAGCTTTTTAACATCCTCTAGAACAATCAATATTTTAATTCAATGAATATCAAAGAAATAATTTGGCAATGATTTTCAGTAAAACAACAAATTTCAATTAATGGTTCAATAGTATACAGTAATTGTAATTTGATAATAGTAATATACTGTATAAGGAAACAATGTTTGCTCATACAGCAGTAAAAGCGATATTCAGATTACAATATTAATTCTACAGTATTAAAATCTGTATATTAACATTTCTAGGAAGTTTACATACCTTGCGAAAAAAAGTATACTTTGGTGCCGTCTTTATGTACGTAGAAATTCTCGCCGATACAGCTACCTAGCCTAAATCTTAATTGTGCTAAATCGTGTCTGCCATAATCACGAAATAAAACTATTCCACCTGGTTTTAGATACCTATATATTTGTCGCAGAACATGTTGCATCCTATAGAATACCAAGAAATGTATCAACTTTCTTCACTATGCCTTTTCTCTCGAATAACTTTTTGATTTGCAAATTAATAAAATTTGTATGGCTCAATTGTGATAAATACAAATTTGAAAGAATAAAGGACCAAGAGCCGTGACAGGGTGTTAGTGTCCAAATATTTCATTCTAAATTTATTGCGAAAAAATATCACCTCCCCCTGGCTGAGGTGATATTTTTTTCGCAATAAATTTTTGATTTGCTATATTTAAAATTTTCACGTATATATTACTAATGTTTATACAATTCATGCAATTTTTATAATATAAAATTTATTTAAATGCACACGGGTATGATACTAATAATCAGTAATATAAAACTTACTTGTCGGGATGAATGGCAGACAATACGAATATAAGTACGATGATGTCCAGACTTTCAGGCTCGAAAGGAGTCATCCACGTTTCCTGAGTTACATCCAGGACAAATGCTTTACACCTATAAAACGGACAATTGTATGTATAAATTATATAACGTTTTGGATAATTTATATCCGCATTAACCATGTAAATTTATTTGAACAAGTTCTTAGGACATTTTACCTGTCTACATCATAAGCAGGGTTTTGTTGTAATATATCGATGGCTTTTGCCGAAAAATCACAACCGTATACAAATAACTTTGGATCTGTATTATACATGAGTATAGGAAACACGGTGTTTCCCACACCACATCCTATCTCCAATATTCTACAATTGTCTTTACATGGTAAATCGAGAATTTTTATGTGTCTGTCTCCATAGCTTTCATCTTCGTCCGTAAGTGCAGCTCTCATGGGTCTTAACGTGTCCCGTTTCACGGTATTGGGCGCTAATTCCGGAAACTCGATCAGTAACCAATGCCTGTCCTTAAAAAACCTGAAATAGTAACCGAATTAAAAATTTATTGCACTAATTCATCGAATAAATGATATTCGATTTTGATGAACTAATATTCCAAGTAATTCAACAGAGAAAATAGTTTTTCTTAGATCGCACATATACCTGTTATTGTGTATCCCATAAAACTTGTCCCAATATTTATCCGCTTCAGTCTCATATTGAGCAAGTTGCTCGGGTAGCTTCGTAATAGTGGAATTCTCGTTCACCTTCTGTTGCGCCAACTTCTCTTGCTCCTCATCCCACGTGACATTATCCCTTTTAGAATAGCAAATATTCAATAATAGATACATTGAATGAAAACAAACTCGACGCTTTACGTTTTCGTTTTCGTTACAAATATCAAATACAACAGAATGTATTAGCAACTCTATAAAACAGATAGTACAATTATGTAATAAAAGGAAAAAAGATTTTAATATACTAAATTGTAATATAATATTTACCAAAATAAATTTTAATTAACGAGAAAAATGTAAAAATTATCAAGAGTTTGCTAAATCCTGTTGCCCTGGCATTTAAAACAGATGCATGCTCTGCGGGAAACGAGGAAAGCAAAAATAAATCACAAAACGCGTCAAAGCGACGTCGCGAAAGTGGAGTAAACTCCAGAGCGTCCCAGTTTCTAGGTTAGGGCACGCCTGTACAACAAATATACGTCGATCAAACATGAATCGTCGATTTTTCAGACAGAATAAAACAATATACAAATTCAAGCGAGAAATGAAAAGAATCAATCGCGATAAACGTCGCGGGTTAATGCACGCGCGTTTTCTCCGACTCCGCAGCGCTTCTTTTAGGTTATGCCGGACACGCGTGCGATCGAACGTCGGAGCGACGTCGCACGCGCGGCCGCATACGCGCGTGGAGCTGCGACGTACCACGCATTGTGCTGGAAGACGTTCCCGTCGTGGGGCAAATTCCGCGTGCCGAACCGCGGCCTGTCCACGTCCCGGTCGTCGCTGTCCACGCTCGCAGCCACCTCGGCCATGTTCGAGAGCGCGCCGACGAAATGGCGCGGTCGCGCGCCGCTTCGGCGCGAGACTCGTCGCGATTCCGACGTCGCCAGACACGCCGGAGGACAGGACGAGCGTCCGTCGTTTGCGAGCCAGTCGCAGGAAGACCCTCGCGTGCCGATGCAAAATGTCCTCAGGGGGTCAATTCTGTATCTTATCTATAGTGAAAATGCTAAAAGCGAGTAGCTCTGTTTCTTTCTAATCTTCCCCTTAGATATTAGGTGATTGTTTCGTGCATACACCAAAGTGTACCAGAGTGTACACTCGTGAAGGGCGCTCTTACACCTGAAAATGTCCGTTAAGAGGATCCTAAAGTCATCTATTTTACCGACACATTCGAATATAGTTTTTGCTTTTTATTTTATTATTTATTTATTCGTTCTTTATATAAAGTCGTGAACCCCCCGCTTTGTTTCCATGCGTCCTATAATCGTGTGGAAGAATTTTGTAATTTTATAAAGCCAATGTCAAATTGCTCACGATTGAAAAATTGAAAATTTCAAATACCAATATCTTTTTCATTAGACTTCTGACCTGAGCGTATGAAAATGTTCTGCTATGCGGTCCGCAACTTATTCTGGCATTATTTTGTGCATAAAAGCTAGTAACAAGATTCACCAGCGCAAAAACTATATTCGAATGTGTCCCGATAGAAAAATTCATTTTATTAAAATAAACTTTCCTACTGGACACCTTTAGCGTCTTTCTTCAGATGTAAAGGCATTTGTAACGCTTGAGTGTACACTCTGCTACACTTCGGTATATACGTACAGTCGCCAAAAATTGCCTATTGTAAGATACAGAATTGTCCCTTTTGTCTCCATCGTTCTCTTTTGTCCACCGAAAAGCAATCTTTTGTTTTTATTATACTATTATTGAACGTGAGAGCGAAACGATGGAGACAGACATTCAAAATAATTATAAGAAATTATCCATACAATTTTCGCATCGATTTCACATACAAAAGTTACGTTGGACTGAAATCGGTCTGCCCGTTCGCGCGCGTTTTTGCGAGCCACGAATTTTTCGGCCATTTTGTAAAGCTCGTTTCGCTCGTGTCATTGTACCTTTGCAGATGGTCAATTCGGTACCTTGCACTATAGTGAAACTAGCTGCTAAAAGTGAGCGGCTTTGCCTCTGTCTAAGGGGACAGTTAGAAAGAGACGAAGCCACTCACTTTTAGCATTTTCACTGTAGCGTAAGAGACAGAATTGACCCCCGGGATTTCTGTGCGCCCTTAAATCGCGCGGGGCTATTAATTTTTTAGTTTTTCGAAGAATTTGTCAACACACTTGTATGCTTTTCCGAAAGTAATTCTTTTCGCGTTAGGTCTCATTTTACGTCAACGAGCGAAATAATAATGGCGAGCAGCTTCTGCATCCTATGGTGAGGCGCGAAGCGTTTTGCGAGTTGCGCGTCTCCACCCCCCCCCACCCCCCCCTCCTCCAGAGTTGGAAGGGACCTGTTCGTTCTTTTCGGCGTGTCGAGCGGAATCGCACGGCGCGTATTTTCGCGGCGGGCGTGCGTTCGATCGCGCGCGCGGCCGCAGGATCAACGACCTAAGGAAAGTGATATAGGTTAGGTTGAGGGTATGCGCGCGAGGTATGCGGAAGCGGGATGGGTGTGACGCGACGCGCCGCGACGCGAGGGGGTGCGAGTCGCGGGGGCTGGCGCGGGAGTTGCGTCACCGGATGCTCGATGTCGCTCCAGGAGCGAATCTCGCGCCCGCTGCGCTTGGACCCGCTTTCCTTTTTCTTTCTCCCCCCCCCCTTCCTTTTGGCTTTTCTCCCGGCACTCAGACGCGTGCTCTTAAACGCTCGAGATGTGCAACTTTGAGAATGAAGCACCACTCGCGCGAGCAGCCGAGCGCCCGTCGAGCCGCGAGGTATCCGCGAAGCGGGCACTTTCTCATATTTTGGTACGCTCTTTCGAGAATCACGCTGTGGCTGCGCACTTGGCTCGGGGAGCAGATGGATAATCCAATATCTCCATCTGCTCGGCTAGCTTCTAAATAGCCAGTATCCCTCTTGGGCTGACTATTTTTGGAAAAATCGATTTCGAGGATACCAATCGGATTAGCGCAGAAGTTGCCCTGATGAGATGTGGGCGAGTCGTATTTGATCTGAGAGAAGCTCGTCTCTCGGAATCGAGCGAACACGGGACAAAAGGGGATCGCGTGTGCAACTTTGATTTGACATACGTACACTTCAAAGCGCGCTTATGGTTTCGTAGTAATAAATTGAACAATTATAGATGTTGATTAAGGCCGCTTCCCCTTTAGAGAACACAGTCGGCATTTCCTACGCAAATCGACACGTGTCGCTTTCCATTTAGAATTTCATTCAAACCTAATCGACACTTTTCGACTCCGCTCGGGAAGAGAGTCGGGGCGTGTTTTTGAGAACGCATCCGCTCCGAGTATCTCGGATAGAATATTTTTTCTCGAAATCTTTGCCATTTCACAGTGGCAAACTGTGCCCGACTGTGTACCGATTTGTGTCTCCTAAAAGGAAAGCAGCCGAAGTCGCATTCGGTAAAAATAATCCAACACATTGCGTTGACTCTGCCTATATTGGTTATTGTGCATATCGTTATTCATCTCGCTTAAGATTTCTTATATTATAAAAAAAGAACTTTAGTGATTTTTGCCAATCATATCGATTTTTCTTCTCCAATTCGCGCAACATTGCACTAGAAATCAGAAAGTCTAAATGTCTATTCTTTGCAGCTCTGCAATCGGATGAAAAAAGTTTCAAGACAAAGAGCCAAAAGGTCCCTCTCTACCTTTGAAGAGCCCCTCCCTTGAAAACGTTTTATCTCATTCTTTTTTCTTTAACTAAGCGAAATAGAGGCGCGCAAGACGTACACGGCCCAAGACATGGATTGCGCGTCGCCATCATTCGACTCCTAGTCCCATCGCTTTTGTTCTCTCGGTTCTCGCGCGAGGACACGCCGCGATTGCCGGTTCATACACGAGAATGCTTTTCCATTAGTGACATGGCCCTTCGTCGAGGCGAGAGACGAAACCCGGAGAGCGACGAGAGGCGAGGAGAGGAGAGCGTGAGCGCGTGCGATTCCTGGCAACCGGTTACCAAGGGCCACAAGGTCCTCGCGCCGCTCCTGCGCCTCGTCGTGGGTGGCTACCGTTACGTCCTAATCCTGCCGCGAGTCCCTAGGGGCGAGATCGATA